GTTTGTTTTGATTTGTAGAGATATTTGTGGATTTTTTTTTGGGTCTTAAATTAGCTCTATGATGTTTTTCATCTCATAGATGAATAATGTCACTATCCTCTAGATGAAGTTTTGCTGGACCAATCAAACTTGACCCTCATAAACAATACTTTAGGCTTGTGGACAAATTAATTAGTTATGATTTCCTAACAATGTAGAAAGATCGATAGAGAATGAGTTGTACTCTTTTTGCTTAAAGACGAGATAGTCGCCATCGAAAGTCCTAATTCCACACGAATGAAAAAAGTTTTCAAATTTAATGTATTGTAACCTCCATCAGCTCTATATCGGCATAAGCTTATTAATGTCAAATGTTAGTCGTGATAAAATATGAAAAAAAATGCTTGAGGCATTGGTGATCATGGTGACTCTACTTGTGAACCTTATGTTACGGTATTCACTTTCTATTAATAAGTAATACTTATTATTTAGTATTGTCGGTGTCAAATAACATTATTTTAAAATATGCACCCACGTGCGAAGGTTAAAAAAAAAGTATTTGATTAGTCAATTTCTAACTATATTACCACCAATTCAACCATAATTATACCGTATAGTTCGCTGATTCGAGTTTTTAATTCGAGTTGAGATGTGATTTTATGTGAGAACTTTTTACTGTAGCAAAAAAGTTAGATGTGATTGTTTGTGAGAGCTTTTTACTGTAGCAAAACTCGAATTCTAAACTCGAATCAGCGAAATGAACAGGGCCATAGTATATGGTATATGGGAATCAGCCAAGCTAATATAATTTTATAGCTGGAGTTCTGGCCGTAAAGTAGATGAGCCTTTTCTTTTCAAAAAAAAAAAAAAGCAAAAAAAAAAAAAAAAAAAAAAAAAAAAAAAAAGTGAGCCTTTTCATTACCAGTTGAAGTATGATATTCATGCACGTAAGTATATATACATGCATTTATTTTGTTCCAGGAATGCAATTAATATACATGCATATATTAACCTAAGAAGAGAGAGAGAGAGAGAGATAGTACTATTACTAGACCCAAAACCTAAGGACGGGGAAAGGTTAGTCAGTCAGACAAACGAATGAGAGAGATAGATAAAGAGACTTTGAAAAATGTACCAAATTTCAAGTTTTGAAGGTGGAATATTAGGCAAGAAAAATTCACAACTACTTCGAGAACATGCGAGCTATAGACCATATGTATATTGTTAAAAGACTCCAAATTTCTTCAAAATCGTAGACATGGTACTTTGGGGCGTAGAAATTAATCCACGAGCAAATATGACCCTTTTATGCATGTATTAAGACTCAATTCCATTCATTTGTGCTGGCCATTTTATATATAATATAAATATATATATATATATATAGATGTATATATGTATGTATATATATTAATTGGGTGCTAATTGCAAAATGGCCGGAATTGGGAGTCTCTCTCACTCAGTGTTTCCCACGAGCCCTAGCGGTTTCTCACCGAACCTGGGTCCCAGTGGGCCCCGGTTTGTCGTATGGGGGGCTCGGGCCCTGTCGCTGTCAAATAGGGCTCTCTAGGAGCTCAAATTAGCTAGTAGTTGTGCATGGTTGGTTGTGAGAATATGCTGTCTCAATTATGGCAGCAAGCAGTTGGTCACATTTTTCTGTTTAAAGGCAAATTAAAGTAGGCATCCTACGAGTAATTAATTGATTTTGATCGGTAAATCCTTGCCACGTGGAGTCTTTTACATTGTGCTTTTTTTCTCTTTCTTTCCTTTCTTCTTTTTTTTTTAATTTTTTTTTTAAAGTATAAGGATTTAAATCCTACGCCTAAAGATGAAGTCAGATGTAAAGTTATAGCTAAACTATCACTGCGTTACATATTGTGCTTTTCCTTTTGTGTGAGAAATTATTGCTTATTAACATGGGATGCGTTTAATATTAATGATGTGGTTAAGGATAATCTGGTCAGCCTCTAATTCATCTGTTTATAAGAAACAAGAATTGTAATGAAGGCACCTATAAGCTAGACCAATAACTGATTTTCAACTTGTAAGGTATGATGAATGTGCATAAATTAATAATCTAATGTGGAAGACTAATCAATCTCCCTAAAGATTATTATTTTTTTTTTTTATAGATAATGTCCCCAAAGTTAAAGGTGTTAGGATATAAGCTGATTTTGTATGCATGCTGTGTTAGGATATAAGCTGATTCTCCTTTTAAGATGCAGAATTCAACTTCCACACTCTAAGTTCAAAAGAAAAAAAATATAAGTGAAAACGAATTATTACGCTCAAAACATACGGGATAACTTTTTAGTAAAATAAACTTGAGATGTATTGTTGAAAAGAAAAGAAAGAAAATTAAAGCGCATTTAAAAAGTTCAATCTCTTTACATAGAGGTTTGTACGTCAGGACTATAAAAATGCACTGTTATTAAATATCGTATAATTTGTATAAAAAATTGTCCGCTATTTACATATTTTTATTTTATATATGTGATTTTGACCAATTAATCCAACGATCAAAAAGTACATTAACGATAGAATATTTTTTTTCTTACCATACCACATCATCCTTATTTTACAAGGACTTTTCAAATTAAAAAAAAAAAAGTCTAGTCTACAATATATATATATATATATATATAATCAACTTGGGTGGCTAAATCAGCTAGGTTCATTCGCAACGTGTGAAGTCTCGATTGCACGTTTCTATATATGCATGAACAAACGAAAACATTAGTCTTAAGCTGGTATTAATTAGTATGTGGAACCGATCAAAGTACTGTTTTCCATTAATAGTAGGCTACATGCCTAAGTCCACAAGGTCGCCTAGTTATGTCTGGTACAAAGTGAAATGTTCAAGTTATCAAAAAGTTGATATATGTTCAAGGTTTTTAGTTGTTTAACTAAAAAAAATATCTGTCACTGACTCACTAACATATACATATACATATATATATATATATATATATATGTGTGTGTGTGTGTGTGTGTGCATGCCTCACGTTTTGTACTGTACTATATTAGACTCCGAGGAGTTTTCCGTTTCAAAATTTACCGACAGAGAATTAGGCAAAATTCTTTACCAAGAAATGTATTTCTGATGTCATCTCTAGTGTTATGGATATGGTAATATTATACATATATTTCGCAAGATATAAGGTTTGAGTACCGGTTCATGCATTTAAGTCATAATTAATACTAAACTAGCAGAATATTCATCCCCCAGTTTATGTATTCGTGCTATATACTTCCCCACTTATATATATATAACAGCTGTTCAAGAGCATTTCTCAATTCAATCAATTACGTGCCAACAAATAATTAATTAATTAAAGGTTCAAACTCTTTGATTGTACATATGAGAGAATGATTGCACTATCAATGCTAGCTATCTAGCTCAAGTAGTTACAAATACAATAAAGCCTTATCTATAGGTTTACGGGCAATTTCATGAAAGGAATTTTTGTGGTTAATAAATTATTGGAGGCAGACACATAAAGGAAAACTAGGAAAATTAAGAAATTATTGCTAGAAAAGAAAAAGGCATTATTGGCAGTTTTGTAGTTAGAAATTGTCAAATTTTCATGGCATTTTATCATATGTATGTACAGTGTTTGATTTTGATGTGATATGATAGTAAAAACGCGTGCTATCAACAATAATATTATATCACATAAATCTTTACAAAAATGCACCACTGATAAAAATATTTATATCATATGATAGATCTTAAAAAAAAAAAATTATCATTCTTGGGTGAGAGAATATAGAATAATATGCTCTAAGAATGGCATGGTGAATCACTAATGATCATACTTATGACCCCAATTTTAGAAAGAAAAATGTAAAACAAAATAAATAAAACACAGTGGATTAAGACTTAGGAAATAGGGACAAATATTAAGATACACAGTGACATCTCCAATAAGTATAACAATATTTCTCTGATATATTACTAGTCCCCATCATTCTTTTTCATTGAATAATATTCTTGAGTTTAATAAACTTAGTTTCTTGACGGGGCCAATTTAACCAACTCACACTGAACATTGACGAGAAAATTAATTACTTGCTCAATCAAACATGTGATGCATGCTTCCGCTATTTAATTTTAAGAAATAAGTGTCAAAGTACAATGATTTTTATGCAATTAGATCCTTTTTTAAAACTAATTAGCACCATCAAACATATATCTTATATGTGCCTTTTATGTCTTTTTCTTGAAGTTAAAACGGAGTTAGAAATTAGTACTGCATTCACATATGTATCACTTCATCAAGTTTGTGGAAAATAATATCACATAAGTCGTCCTTAGATTAAATGATGATCAACAACATATATTAATTTACATATATGGAGAATATTCATAATGTGCCAGAACTAAAAATGAAAAAGAAAGTCATAATTGCGAATTAATTGATTTTGTATCGTGTATATAATTTTCATGCGATTTGACCCACCTGTATGTGGGGAAAAAAAAGGGCAAAAAGAAAAAAAAAAAAAAGAAGAAAAAAAAGAAAATGCTTATAAAATTGGAAACTTTTTCTTTTTCTTTTTTTTCCCTCAAATTGAAATTACAAAAGTCGCCGCTCCAATATGTATCTAACGGATTTGAGACTGTTGTCGTAGACGTCACGTATCGTTATGATTACGTATGCTGACTTCACTACTATTTCTTCCCGGGTTTTCCTTCTATTTATAAACAATATCCTCCTTAGTCATTCCTCACTCCACCAAAAGCCAAACCACAACCAAAAAATTTCTCTCACTCACTATCTCTCTCATCACTCTTTCTCTCTCTAGACTACTATGGAGTTCAAAGGCAAGGCTCCGACGCTGCCGAGAATCACAGTTCCGGCGCCATTCTCATCGTCGCACTCTCCGCCGTCGTCATCGTCTCCGACACCAAACTCCTCTCAATTGTCGTCTCCAACGACCACCTTCCCATCGCCGCCGAACTCTTACCAGTCCTCTCCGACCAGCGCCGTGACTCCCGTTCCTCTTCCCCCGCCGCCGCCGCCGCCACCGGTGGTGCTCAGCCCCTGCGCCGCCTGCAAGATCCTCCGCCGCCGCTGCGTCGATAAGTGCGTCTTGGCGCCGTATTTCCCGCCCACGGAGCCTCTCAAGTTCACCATTGCCCACAGAGTCTTCGGCGCTAGCAACATCATCAAGTTCTTGCAGGTGTGTTGATAAATTTAAGTTCGCTAATCTTTTGGGTGAATTCTGTAAATAGATGAAATTCATAAGGTTCTTTTGAAAAAAAAAGTATAGAGTTGAAAAATGCTCTACAGAGTGCAGTCTGTCCCCCTTTTCTTTTTTTTTTTTTTGTTTTTTTTCTACTTTTCGCTTTATCCCCATTTGGCCTCTTACATTAAAAAATATGCCAATAACATCCTCACTTGCTTTTGCAGTGTCAAAGTCCCGCGGCTTAATTGCATAATCTCATCAATATAATGCAATATTAGACATTGTGTAAAGTTTAGGGTGCCAAGTAGTATTTTTAATAATACATGGGTAAAAAATGGAAGAAGAGTAAAAAATAATCAATAGTATTGTCCCTTGAGGTAAAGAGCGGCAAAAACGAAAGTGGTGGGTGATATTAATTCAAATGATTGGCTCTGCTTTTCCATTATTTCTCTGACTTTTTTAGTTTTACAAGTAATTAATTATTAATTGTGCCTGCTTTTAATATAATAGTTCGTTGTAGGTGAATTGGGATCATTGTTTTTGACAGATTGAAGGGCTCAGCCAATTAGATGCAATTTTTGAAAAGCTGAATTTGCTTTTTATTTATTATTATTTATAATAATTATTACCACATGCATATTCTGTTTATGTTCATCTATGGTCGGAGAGTAGTCAAAATTAGGTGTTCTCACTAGAGTAAATTAATGTGTCATTTTAATTGACATACTTTATGCTAGTTGAGTGGACCAATATTATTAAGACCTTGTGACACTTATTATCCTTCTAAGCTTTAAATTGAGTTAATAATCTCAAACTAAGAACACTACTCATATGTGTTTTTTTTTTTTTTTTTTTTTTTTTTTAGGAAATTCCAAGGTTAGGAGTTTTTTTTTTTTTTTTTTTTTTTTTTTCAGGAAATTCCAGAGTCTCAGAGAGCAGATGCGGTTAGCAGCATGGTATATGAAGCAAATGCGAGGATCCGAGACCCAGTTTACGGGTGCGCGGGGGCGATTTGTCAGCTGCAGAAACAAGTAAGTGAGCTCCAAGCGCAACTGGCCAAGGCTCAGGCGGAGCTGGTGAACATGCAATGCCAACAAGCCAATCTAATAGCCCTAATTTGCATGGACATGACACAACTCCAAGAACCGAATTCGCAGCAACAGCCGTACGGAGACACGAGCTGTTTCTTAGACGACAACACTTTGGGCACGACATGGGAGCCTCTCTGGACTTGATCATCAACACTTTTACTAGTACTATACTATATAATACTAGTTCTTAGAGGACAATAATTAATATCGTTAATTAAATATATATCTTAACCTCTAATTGCTGAAATATATATGGATGGTCAAAGAAGAAGATACTTAATTTCGAAAATATCTAATAAAGTGATTTTGTTACATAGTATGGTAGTCCAAGGGGTTGATCGTCATCATGATGTTTGGTAACGAGAGGTGAACTTTGAAGGATGGTTTCATCATGGTCAACTTAACGAGTATTAATTTGTTTAATTACTTTTGTAAGTTGTAGGAGGAAAAATGTATAAAAATATATATGGTGGACGTGAGAAAAACTAATGTGAGAGAGAGAGAGAGAGAGAAGAGGGAAGCTGTCTTATTCTATGTGTTAATTAGCTTATTTTGATAGTATTTCTCCATTAATTCAAGCTTCAACGTTATTTCTGTCCTTTCAATTTGCACAAGTCGATGGTAGCTAATTAAGAAGGATATCCCATGTGGTAAAAAGAATGATGAAAGTTAAAAAACGTGATATGCCCATATGATGGGAAGGAAAAGAGAAGAAATTGCGAAAAAGGGAGAGAAAGCGACATAATATATGGTTTTTTTTTTTTTGGTGAAAAAGATAGAGCGAGAAAAAAATGTCAACATACATATTCTTAACTTTGCATATGAACTTTTATCTCAATAGGAAAAAAAAAAATTGCAAATCCTCTCTTGACTTGACATAGACATACAGTGCATAGGTAGTTACTTCCAACACATAGCCGTGGAAAAAGCCTGTTTCCAATTGAAGTCACCCAATTTTGGTCGAATATCAGAACTTAAAAAAAGGAGCTAGAAGAAAAAATTAAAAGACTTCTATATCTACAAAGACTTGTGTTACACACATATGATAATCATGATATGATAAATTTTAATCAAAATTTGAACTAAAAATTTTAGTTTAACATTTAAATTGAAATAATGGATACCAGAAAAACAAAATAATAGTATATTATTATAAATAAAAAACTAAGAAAATAAATGAAACTTTTTAAGACATTTTGCATAAAATTGAAAATGAGAAAAGTTAAGTGGTGCAAAGTAATAAATCTTAGCCATGTCAATAAGGGTGTAAACGAAACTTTTCATAACAGTCAGCAGAAAGTTTGTGCGTGCGATTTTCAAAAAAAAAAAAAAAAAAAAAGTTTGTGCGTGCGAGCGTAAGGCAAGAGAAAATAGCAAAGAAAAAAATTAAAAAAAAATAAAAGAAGAAAAAGATAATTAGACTCAAAATGTGAGAGACTTAATTAATTATATAATTATCACAATGACATGAGATATTGTAAACATATACATGAGACATCAAACTCTTGAAATTTGCACATTCCCCCTAAATGATGAAAAAAAAAGAGCGTTGAATATATATATATATATATATATATTTTGGTGAAGTATAAATTAAATAATAACCTTTAAAATCTTCCAATTTTTTTTTCCCACGAATCAAGTTACATATTTTCCTTGACGGCAAATTATAAGTGGACGACAATAGCTACTGGTAGCTTGGTTGGTGAGACATCTATATTCATAATAATAAACAAACAAAAAAATGTACCTTTCAATTTCCTGTAAAAATGAAAATTACATGAATTAATTGTACGACTATTACTATAATTATTTTATATATCTATTAAAGTTCATGTTAATTAGGATTTAACATCAAGCTCAAGAAATAGATATACACACTATTCGACCAAACTCCATATTATTAATATATTCGAGGGAAAAATAATACTGCGATTAGACAAATCAATAGTAACTTAAACATAAATAATTACTACGTAATAACTAACTATCATGATTAATCTAATCTCAATATGACTGCCAGTTCGTTAAATTAATTATGCCAGCATATAAAAACGCGTCTAAAAGTTTCACCCTTTTCTTCAGCTTTCCACATCGTCACGTGCAATCCACGTTCTCGCTACTTGATTTCTTCGCCAAAAAAAAAAAAAAAAAAGATGAAAAAGAAGAGAAAAGAAAAGAAAAAGATCTCAGAAGAAGCAGAAAAAAAAAAAAAAAAAAAGAAAGATGAAAAAGAAGAGAAAAGAAAAGAAAAAGATCTCAGAAGAAGCAGTACTGTCGGCATGTACAACTGATAATGACTTTAATTTCACTTTCTCAGCGTCCAAACGCATGCTTTTTTTTTTTATATTCTACGCTAAAGGGGATATGAGGACTAGGTGAGAATTCTATTGCTTTGACAAACGTCTTTTGCCTTTGCCCCAATCAAAGGTACTACTACTACTATAAAACATCCAATCTAACCACTTCCACAATATAAAACGATCGACAGAGAAAAACTTCAAAGTCAAATGCTCATATATATATATACATAATTCTGAATAACCACTGATCAGTTACACACGATCATCAGAAACTTTATTCACACCAAAGAAAAGCACTGCTTTTATCGTGTATATTTATTTGGAAAAATTTGTGCTCTTGAGTCACGTGGACCCCAATTGAAATTAATATTCTATGGTAACTAGTTAACGAAAGTCTTTGACGGGCACCGAACTGTGAGTGTGGGATGGCTTTGTCCACATGTGGGTGATTAACTAATTGTTCATTGTTTTTATTTTTGCATGTTCAAACTTGTGTGGCCAACGGATAGTGTGAAAACTGAAAACAGTCCTCGGAAAACTGCAGTCTTCTATCCGGAGGGAGGGAGGGAGGTCGATGTCACGTGGAAAATTCCAATTAAACGATTATCAAATTAAAATAATCGATCCCTTTCAAAAAAAAAAAAAAAAAAAAAAATTGATTATATACACACACATAGTTAATATACTCAAAAACTTAGTCGTTACTTGTCCAAATTGAAAAGATAGTTCAACATTCATAATGAACTTGCATTAGAGCTATAAGTTTGAGATGGACCACGTCGATCGATCTAAAACATGTTACTATTAACCTGATCCCGATATGTTTTAGTGTCATGATCAGGCCGGGCTTATGGTATAGGAATAAAAGTGTTTTTGAACCAGCCCATCCCGAAGTTTTTTATTTTTTATTTTTTTTAAATTTACCTTATAAAGGTCAGGTCCAGCCCGACCCTAATTCATTGGGCTTTAATTTCGGGCTAGGACGATCTTCCTCCCTTTAGAGATGATCCAACCCTGTCTAAAAAGTATATTCGGGTCGTTTGGTCCCAACTGAGTGGCCCGAACTTTTAGCTCTAACTTGCATAAAGCAAACATTGATATTTATTTGTCATTCAATTGCTAAATAATAAAGAGATAGATTATAATTTGACTTTAAATTTGTATAGTTATCAATTACAATATATTTTATTGGTGGTATTTAATTATAAATGTAAGGTTGCATTTACATTTTTGGATTATTTACAATTAAGTTTAACTTATTAGTTAGCTATATATCTCTATAATTGTATTAGAGGTTGTAATTTCAATCTAGAGAATCATTAATTGAGCCTATAAGTTTCTCCTTTTGATGTCTTAAATCCTCTATTTCTCTGATTAGTCAGTTTTAACCACCCCTTTTAATTAATAGTATAACGTTTTTTTTTTGTCTAAAAGGCGTTTTTTTTTTCTTTAGATTTTGACAATATAATCAATCACTAATATACTAATAATCTCTAACACAAACACTGATTGATATCAGTTCGTTAATGATGAATTCGAAGTTAATCAGTACTACAAATCAGTCCATCACTGGCTAACCATATTTTAAAACGCACATTTTCCCAACAAATCAGAGGTTGGATCATGTACTAAAAAAGCTTACAAAACAGTAATTTTCTTTTTAACCCCTTCCATTTCTACACATCTATTGATTATTCTTCCCTATCTTTATTTTTTCTTGATTACATGGTGGTATACACTACCTAGTACTACTTTATGTATTTATTTTGAGGAAGCAAGTTCTATTTTATCGATTACCACAAGGGGCATTAATATGAACTTCAAAGCTCTTGATTCCTCGTACACTTCATAGCCGACAAATTAAGGACCTTTTTCGGTCAGAAAGATCAATTAAGCCCCGTTTGTTTTTTATATTTGAATTTATGATTCTAATTATGTTATAATATTTTTTATCTGATAAAAAATTTGAATTTAAAATTTTTTCTCTTATAAAATTTCTGTCAATGAATCAAAATCACGAATTTAAACGCGTAAACTAAACAAACTCATAATTTTTATAATATAAAACCATGACTACTGCTTCAATTATACGTTAAGTTAGCAAATCAGCGTGCATCACGTGGGGAGAAAACCCGGTTTACACGTTTTCATCGCTTTAAGAGTAAGGCTTTTGGTATCAGTACGACGACATTTATAGTTTATCTAAGAGAATTATTATCGATAGTGTTGGAATTATGCATCTTGTAATCATATGACTAAAGTGAACTTGGTTCTGTACTTTCGCATTTCTTATAATTTGAGGAGGGATTAATTTTAAGAGTTGCGATAAATAAATGATGTATCTTCCTTGCAAAATGGTATTCGAAAAAGTTATATGAGATGCAGACAGAGAATACAAGGAACTTACCACAATTCAGTACCAGCTGTACTTTATATACTGCGTCAATATTAAAAAAAAAAGTTACAAAATCACATATTTAATCTTGTAACAACCAAAAGATTAAAACAAGTTTTTATGGCTTTCCATGTAGACAATTTTTTGTTTAAATAAAAAAATCAGTCAAACTTGCTTGATATATTGAAAGAAACATAATAAAAAAGGAAAATAAGAAGGAAAAAGAGAATAATGGGATTGAGATCACATGTCTAAATTTTGATGTCTTAAACGATAATTCAAAAAATTCAAACATCAAAGCATAAAAAAGTTAAAATACATTTCCATTCTTTTAAAATGATGTGACTGATTTTTTAAATAAAAAAATCAGTCAAACTTGCTTGATATATTGAAAGAAACATAATAAAAAAGGAAAATAAGAAGGAAAATGAGAATAATGGGATTGAGATCACATGTCTAAATTTTGATGTCTTAAACGATAATTCAAAAAATTCAAACATCAAAACATAAAAAAGTTAAAATACATTTCCATTCTTTTAAAATGATGTGACTGATATAATGTGATTAGTTAGATAATATTTGAGACAATGCTAAAAATTGGATTAGGTGATTTTAGTTCAAAATAATGGCTCAAAAAGTACGCCCCCACTAAAAGAGATTTTGTTCTGCTCCTGATTATGAATATCTAAAATTAACCTAAAATCATTTATAGAAGGAGAAATCAGATTAACGGTAGTTGTGTAAGTTAAAAATGTTTTCACTTTTTTGTGGTAGTCTATGTGATCTATGGGTGGAATTGGAATCAAAATATTCAATCTAAAGTTATATATATACTTTTTAAAAATAGATGGATGGTTCTAGAACTAACCCAAGAAAAATATTTGATATAAACTTGTTAGGGTTTATTTTGATGAAATTACATATACTTTAAATAGTAATTTTTTTCTTTCAAATGAAAGCACATGTTAATATAGCATGTGTCAACCTATAAATAAGAAATATAAATTATGAGTGAGATTGAACCCACAAACTTTCATACAAAATCTTCCTCAACCCCCTTTCTCATGTCATTAGACGAAAAGGTCTTAGGTAATAATATGAATAGTGAATTGTTATTTATAAGAAAACATAGTTATTATTATTAAGGGTAGTAATTCGTGTTAGTGGGTTGTGTTCGTGTCAACTTATTTATTAATCGTGTTAGAAAATATCAAACCAAACTCGACCTGTTTATTAAGCGTGTCAAAAATTTCAACCCAAACACGACCCGTTTATTAATTGTGTTAATCGTGTCAACCTGTATAACCCATTTAAATTAATATATTGAATAAATAACTAATATAATAATGACTTATTTAACACGGTCGAGATATGTTTAACATGTTTATTGGTCAATTTATCTTTTCCTTTAAGAAAAATAAATGAATTTTACCTACAAATATTAAAATTCACATTATTTGTATTTAATGTCATATAAACTTTCATGTTATATCACATATTGCAGATGACACATATAGTTAATCGTGTCAATTCGTGTCACTTCGTGTTAGGAGGTCAACTCTAACCCAACTTATTTATTAATCGTGTTAATCGTACCAACTCGATTATGACCTAAACCCATTTATTATAAACCCAAACCTGCTAACCTCATGTGGGTTTCAAATTATGTCGTCGTGTCACTATCCAAATTGCCAGCCCTAATTATTATATATATATATATATATATATATATATAAAAGTAAAGTACAAGTTCTACGAAATTTCACTTATAAGTACATATGTTAGTCATTTTGATTTTATAGCTGAATATTAAAAACTATTTACCAGTACAATTGTTTTTAACCGTTAATTATGTATTAAATTCTATCAGTTTTCCATGTTTTTCATTTGTTTAACTGCATAACGTTTAGAAACAAGTATAATAGAGATACCTTACCATAAAAACCTCTTGAAAGATAAATTTAGGCAAACTTAAATCTGAATGTTCTAAATTTTTCTCCGATGACTCATACTTTTCAAGTTTTGAACTAATGAATCGTCAATCGCACTGCCCGCACGACAAGGCAAAGAGACCATCTACACCAACTCTAAAAGGATCAGGATAAAAGACCTCAGTTCTAAAACAAGACCAGACTTTGTACTTGAGTTATATATCTAGATTATATTTATGTATATACGACTTTCGTTGATGTAAGACCACATAATTCAGAACTACTTCCCCGCTGGCCAATTAGAATGTTATATGTCGTTTCCAACAAGGCATTTGCCTTCATAAACTTGACTAATTTATTGCGCATGTACCATGTACTTAATGCAAATGACTCCTGGTTGTGACACATAAATGTTGACCTTCTCAAATCTAGCATGTATTTGAAATCACAACTTTTTACACAGTTAAAAGAAATTAATGTTTTTAACCATTAAATTAGTTTTTTAGTGATTATATATGTGAAAGTTCATATTAAAAATTTACAACGTATCACACATATTTAATCTTAATCTAAATCGGATGGAAAATACATAGTTTCCAACGATAAAGTAAAATAATGTTGACTAATTGTAATCACTTGTTTATGCAATGTGTTTCTCAAGTTTTGTGTTACACTTGATTAATTAATTAACAGATAGGGAATGCAATTAGAGTCCCCGCAGACATGGCTATTAATTATTTATGAATGATTATTATGTGGCGTCCTTATAAGTAACATTAGTAGTAATGCTATGGATCACAGAAAATTTCGCACTTTCTTGAAAAAAAAATATCAATAATAGAAAATGCCAGTGACTTTGCAATTGCGTTACTTTGAAAAAACTCACATAGACGGACCTACATGTGCATGCTTAGTCTTGTTTCCTTGTTCAATGTTAGCAATAATCAAGGGACGTGTTCGTCGTATATACAAGTGCCACAGATTCCACGAAATTTGGAATGAGGAATTTTCACCATCAATAAAATAACACTATATTATTTCTTTCACTATTATTATATTTATCTTATATCACTAATCTGCATGTTTTCTTTTTATAGTCTGTAAGTTATTTTTCGTAACTTGTAGGTTATTTTTCATAATCTGTAGATTTTTAAATTATCACTTCGTATTTTACAAGTTATTTTCTGTAGTGACATTAAAATTTTGTGTAGCAGTATATATATTAAAGTTAGAAAAAATAATGATTAAACTTGAAATGTTATCATTTGGAATATTATATATGATCCAAATTTGTTTCTTAGAATGACCTCTATGTAGTAGAATAAATTTAGGAAAGATTTTATATTGGTACCCTATGTTATAGCATAATTGTTTTTTAGTATTTTATGTTTTCAGAAATTTTGAATTGGTACCTTAAAGTTTAAAAAAAACATTTTTTAGTACCTTAAGGTCATTTTTTAGGATGTAAATTACCCTTTTCATTATTTTATCAAAAACTAATAAATTTAGAAAAAAATTCTGAGAAAATTATTTTAATTAAAAGCATTATTTATATTTTTAATTTTTAAATGTTTAAAAAAAATTTCATAATTTTTCTAAATTTATTATTGGTTTCTTGGTTAATTAATAAGAATGGTAATTTTGATTCCAAAAAATGACGTTAATGTACTAAAAAATAATTTCCTAAATGTCAAAAAACCAATTTAAAATTACTAAAAACACAAGATACTAAAAGTCAATTACGAGGTATTAATATGAAAATTTTCTATAAATTTATATAATACATGCGCACGTAACTTTCACAGAATTCTCTAATACTGCTTCACCATATTTTGATCTTTTCTTCTTTTGGATCTGTAACATATTGATTATAACTTCTTTCCCCATGTTTGGTTATTCTGATATCACGAAGAGACACATTGTAAAAGATGGAGCTGAAAATAGGCGTCCAATAAAAATTGATTATCTGTAGTAATTAATCGACGTCGCTAGACTCTGGAAGGACTAATTAAATCAAGTTATAATAGCTTTAGTACCATTAGAAGATAGCTACAAATATTACTATCAAAGTAAAATGATGATGAAAAATAAGGTAGGGCTCAATTGGGCCTGCTGCATCCTCCTCCACCTCCTCCCCCTCCATTTTTTTTTCTTCCAAATTTTGTGATCATGGTTAGAAGACTCATAAAGAATATTGACAGTTATGAAATCGTGTTGTCGATCAAGTTTTTCAGTGACAGTTATGGCAGTGGCAGTTTCTTATTTTCCCCTTTTTTTGTGCTAAATTTCAAGGTATAAAATTTTGCTATGCAGAATAATTAATCTCTAACAGTTTGGGCTGAAGTTTTGAGTCTTGAAGTTAGGTCCGAATAGTTATATGAAGTATTTATACGAAATGATCATGCTTACCCTCTAAATTTAGGATATGTACTTAAATCAATAATATTATTAATCTCTTCATTTTATAGTTTTTTTTTTTTTTTGAGTAGATGTCCATTTTATGATTACTAATATAATATAATTTTAAATATACACTTTTTTATTTGGGTTGTTGTGAATTTCTATAACTGATTTTAAAAGGTAGTTAAGTAGGGATAAAAATGTCATTACGAGTTATTTTACAGACTTATATACAAATATAACAACTTGTGGACATTTTTTTCATCCATTATAAACTAGACACATATAGAAGTGAAAGTTTAGGTCGGGCTTGGCTAGTCTAAAAAGAGGAGGGTCGGCTTGGCTTGAAATTCACAAAGTATTTTTAAGCAAAATTTTTTAAAGAGATGTGTTCGGACCGGCCCGAATAAATTTTAAACTTAAAACCGGCCCAGCCTAAAGGTTAGTGACAGGCTGGCCCAACCCGAATACTTAAATAGGCCGGACCAAACCCAGACCAACTATGTCAGGCCTCGGGCCATCATGTTTAGCGCAGTGCAAATTTGCTGCCGTAGACATATATACATACATATATATATATATATATGTAATTAACAGTTATAGAAGGCGTGGAGGTGGAGTACGATCCAATGGGGCCAACATCCAAAACAGGCCACATAATGATGATTGCAAGTCCAAGCCCAAAACAAAGGGCAAAATACGCACAGGAAGCAAACGAGGATCATAATCATATTCGTCAGCCTCAGCCACCACCAAGGCGCAGCAGAAAAACAAGAACAAAAGGGGCACAAATTCTCAATCGGATTACCAGATTCCGCTTCGAGGGCTTACCGATCGGCCGGCGAGAGAAGTAAAAAGTCATCGAATCGGCGAGAAAATGAGCGGACCGAGCAAGAAAGTGGTGGATGTGGCGTTTAAGGCGTCGAGGAACATCGACTGGGACGGCATGGCCAAGCTCCTCGTCTCCGACGAGGCTCGCAAAGAGTTCGCCAGCCTTCATCGCGCCTTCAATGAGGTCAACTCTGCTCTCGAGACCAAGTTCAGCCAGGTCTCTCTCTCTCTCTCTCTATTTTGTGATTTTATTTTATAGATCTTTGTAATTCTGGCTCGATTGTTGTTTGATTAATGATTTTTGTTTGAGATTATTGTTTTGCTTATAGTTTTTGGATTGGACTTTGTTGGACTAGGGTTCATTCTATGTTTTTCTTTTTATTGATTCCTAAAGCGATTCGCTTTTGATTTTCAAAATGGAATTTTTCTTTCTTCTTTTTTTTGTTTTTTTTTTTTCTAGATTTTGGTTGGGTGCTTGGAAAAAGTAAATGGAAATCTAGGGTGGTCTTGGTGTTAACTGTGTTTTGCTGGAATGAAGGACCAAATGTGGGATACGTTTTTTGTCCTTATCAATTCATTGTTTGGTTTGCGATAGGATTTAGAAAAACAAACTAAAGGAGAACTTTTTTACTTCAAAATTGGGGAAATTGAACTTTTTTACTGCATAATTTAGAATTTGAGGCTATGGGAAATGCAATTACTTGGCCTTTCTTAACACCTTTAGTTGTTGGTTTTGTGTGGAAACGAGATTAACATCGAACTAAATTTAACTTTATTATGGAATTCTTTCTTTAGCATTAGTATGCTCTTAAGTTACAATTTTATTGATTTTAGTTTTTTTCATTTCTCATTGTTAATTTGAACTTGCTGCAGGAACCTGAACCTATTGACTGGGAATACTATAGGAAAGGAATTGGATCTCGCTTGGTTGATATGTACAAGGAGGCTTATGATAGTATGTTTTCGGACTAACTGATACTTGGAATATATGTTACTTTCAAGTTTATGTCCTATGTTATTATATTTCCTAAGGCTGTTCATGGGTTGGGTTGGTGTGGGGTAGGGGGCCTTTTCTTCTCCCGTCTCAAAGGGTGCGGGTTGCACATATTTGGCCCCAATGATGTTAGAAAAATTTCACAACCCAATGATGTTTGGGTTGGGTTGGGGCGGTGCGGGGTGGGTTGAGTTGTCGGTTTCAACATTCAAAGAATCAAAGACTCAAAGTTCAATCCAACATTCAAAGTTCAATCCAACATTCAAAGTTCATCATCAAATAGAAATAATAACTCCAACATTCAAACAGATAGAAATTCAAAGTTCAATCCAACATCAAATATGAAGCAAAGTAGTCTATCAAACATTAAATATAAAGCAAACATAAATTAGTCTTAACATAAAGCAAACATAGAGGCTTAATTCAAACATGAAGAAACTAGAGAGTAGAAATGAGTTGCCTGCCTAGGGTTAGATATTAGAGGAGGCAAGTTAGAGCGCAGGTTGGGTTGGGGTGTGCGGGCCATTATAGGCCCAACCCACAACCCGCCCCAAAACTTCGTGCCAGACATTGAATGGGCCGAAAAAAAAATTTAATACTAGAAATTGCATTTTTCGGGTTGAGTTGGGTTGGGTTGGGGACGGGTGGGTTGGGTCTGCGGGTTTTGTGGGTTTATGAATAGCCCTAATATTTCCTCCAACTCTAATGGCACTAATATGCCGAGGTTGAGTATCACTAAGATTTGTGTTTGGATTGTATCATGCTTTTGCATTCTGCCTTGAGTTGAAAATTTAGGGCCCGTTTAGAAGGTATACTCACATAATGATTTTTGATTCTGACGTTTGAAATTCAAATTTCTTGTGAGAGGAAAACACTGTAGTAGAATTAATGATTTGGGTTTGATTATTTGAAACAAACGGGCCCTTAACGTGTAGGGTTTGATGATTATGTTGTTATCTTGTATATCCTTTTAAGAGACCTTAAGGCTATGTTTATCCATCCAAGGCTGTTTAGTAGGATGGATGAGAAATAGGAAAAAGATGGGAAGGGGTGTGATTCCTTATTATGGTGTTTGGTAAGAGAGGAATAATCAAAACGTACCTATCCTGTTTTTTATCGAGGTCCAGGAGAAGGAAAATAAATGAGTTCGTTGCACATCTTCATCTATCCATATTGATGCTTACACGTGGTGGCTTTGATATATTAGGTATATCACAACTATACTAGATTCTCTTCTTTGCGCTGCATAGTCCTTTTGATGTTGGAGAGAGAAAAAATAGGCTCGGTTGTTGATTCGATTGCAGTCCTATCCTCACCTTGCAACAAATCCCATAATTTCACTTACTAATTGTGTCACCTATTTTTTATCTCCTATCAAGGAACCATAAATTTACATCTGTTATTGTCCCTCCTTCCACTTTCCCTTTCTTGAAGAAGGGGGTGCTGGTTGCTGCAAGTAACTGTTCTCATTTGTGTTGATGGGAATGATATTCTAATGTCTACTTATTCTTATATTGTTAATGTCTAGCTTACTATATCGGCCGTCCTGATGAATGACCCGTTATATTGTTCCTACTTCCTTCTGTTCAATTACCCTTTTTCATATTTCGTTACTTTGTTCTTTCACATTGCAGGCATTGAAATCCCCAAGTACGTAGATACAGTCACTCCTCAGTACAAACCTAAATTTGATGCATTGGTAAGAGTTGATGGGGACTCCCCCCTACATATGCCCCGAAGCCCCTATCTTATTAACGTTTCATTACCTTTTTCTCTAGTCTATACCTGCTAAATTTTTGTATACTTATGCGTTATATATGTTGCTGTGGACTACAGCTGGTGGATCTGAAAGAAGCAGAGGAGAAATCTTTGAAGGAATCAGAGCGCATAGAGAAGGAGATTGCTGAAGTTCAAGAGTTGAAGGTAGGGACGATAATTCCTAAAAGTCATCATTTGTCTCCTATGATGTTTTTTGTTTCTAACATTAACATGCCATTTTCTTGACAGAAAAAGATTAGCACCATGACTGCAGAGGAGTACTTTGAGAAGCATCCTGAGCTTAAGAAGAAATTTGATGATGAAATCCGTAACGACTACTGGGGCTATTAAGAATATCTGCGTTTTCTAGCACCAACTTTTCACTTCGGATCATGATGACATTTTCGGGAATTTTATCATCTTTTCCTGTCTGATTCAATAATAAAAGCAACCAAATTATTTTCTTCGAAATCTGGTGAAACTCAGTTTGAAGATTGTGTTTTCCTGCACCCCATCAGAAATTTGTTTCCAATAGGATCACTTTATGTTCAGATAAACTTCGAATTTGAGAATGTTTCTTGAAGTGTCGGATCATAAGGGAATCCTTTGAAATAATTCCGATGTATTTTATAAGCTGTGCCTACCAGATTTTTAATATAGCTTTCGTCATTTTGAGTGTTTGGTTAGATCGAGGGAGAGGGGTGGGGGGAGATAGTGGTTTGATGGAGAGGGGTGAAGGGAGAAACGTACGGGGAAAGGGCAAATTCGTTGGTCAGGAGGAATGAGAGGAGAGATGGAGGGAAAGACTATCCATTTGGATCATTATTTTGAATCCTTACACTAACTGAAGGATTCAAGAAAGTGAAAATTGGTGAATTTACTTTGTTTTTAGATTTTTATCTTTAGTTTTGATTAATACATTTTTGATTTATATATATATTTTTAAGTAAATGGTATTAATTAAGTGTAAGAGAATCTTTAATGTAATGGTATAATTGACGTGTCAATTGTAAATTTAATATTTGAGTTTAAAAGAACTTTTCAATTTAATGTTAATTTTTCATATGTTATATTTTGTGTTAAATTTTTCACTAAGCATAACATATGAGAAATTTGACATTTAATTTTTATTAGTTAAAATGTTTATCTTTTTCATATAATTAATGCAATTTTTGTATTTTTTAATTGTTTTAAAAATGAAAATTTACTTTTACAACTTCTAAAGTTTAATAATTATAAGAAAAAAATAACATATCATATTAAACTATTTTAAGAAGTATCCGTCTTATTTTCTCTTTAAAAAATCCATCAAAGTCGAGATAAAAAGACTAATTTACTATCCAAAAAAAGTACTAATAAATAGTAAAGTGGATAACAAAGTAATTATATGCATGAATATTATCCATCCATTCAATTTTTTATCCCTCTTATCAAATGATATAAAGAATTAGTGTAAGTCTTTCCATGCTCCATATTTCCCGTCCCTCCTATTCTCTTCATCAAACCTACTCTTTATCCCCTGCAACTAAATAGAGTATACTAAATGGAGTCTTAAAAGGAAAGGCTTCAGTAGTGGTGTCAAACGTGCCGTGCTGTGCCAGGTTGGCACGGCCCGTCCAACACCAGGCCTGGCACGACCCCTGCACAGTGTAGGGCCGTGCCTGGGCCGAGCCTGAGGAGAAAAACTCAGGCCCGGTCTAGGCCCATGGCCCTAGTCCATAAGGGCTAGGCCTAGGCCCTTCACGGGCCGGCCCAACAAATTGTATTTTTATAAATTTAATTTAAAAAAAGAAAATATATCATATGCCCCTAAAAGATGTGATTTTATTGAATTGACATAATAGGAATAAGTACACATAAATGACTACCTCGTTAAAAACCTTGCAAAGTAAAACCCATGGGGAGATCGAGACAAAACCTTAGCGAAGGAAAAAAGAGTGCAGTAGCTCGGAATAGTAAATTACAAACCTAAGTGCTTCCAGACAATTATGTTATTTCTAAGTTAGAAAAATATTCTTGCATTGAATTATCTGTGTATTGTTGTTTTCGTCTTCTGGCATCTTCCCAATCTTTAACGTACATTAGCCCCTCCAAGATATTTGGATGCATTCTGCTTCTCTTTTCATCAAGAATTCGGTTGCTTGCGCTAAATGCTTGCTCCGATGCTACTGTTGACACTGGAGCTGTCAGAATGTCACGAGCTATTACGGACATTGTTAGAAAACGATCGGTCTTGCTCTTCCACCACTGTAAGATGTCTAGTTTGTTGTCATCAATTATAAAATTTGCTTCAAAATATTTTACTAGTTCGGTAGACGCTTGTGTTGATGACGATCCTGCCGTTTTCTCTTTCTTCTTCAAGAAACTCCACGACGATCCTTTAGGCCCCGAACTGCTAGTTGACGTTGAAGTTCCCTGTTCTTTTTGACTTGTGCCGTATTTTGCTTTATACAAACTAAAAACCTTTTCTAACATTCTCTTAGCGTCAGTAATAGTTAGTTGCATATCTATTCCTAAGTTTTCTACGGTAGTAGTCATCAATGAGTCAGTCCCATCTACTCCGCACCTAGAATCTAAAATGGTTGCTAATGCATATAACACATGACAACTTGACAAATAACTTTTAAATTTATTTTTCATTAACTTAACTATGTCTCCAAAAGTTATGTATCCCTATAATAAGAAAATATTTTTGAAATATTAAATAGTTGATGTAAAGCTAAATGTGCAGTCGGATAATAAACTCCAGAAAGTAATTCAGTAGCATTGTAAAAAACTTCTAAAAATTTTAAAAAATACTCACCAATCTGCCAATCAGTATCGAAAATTAAAAGTTGATCGTTCTTACTGTTTACGTACGTCGTGATAAGCTACGAATACGGAAAAAAATACTCACTGCATGAATTTCTATTTCACTTGTTTTTGGATTTGGTCAGGACTCCTCAGTGGAATGCTGCCATGTCGGAGAAGTTCGTGTTCTTTTTCCCCTGCTGCGTTCTCCAGCTTCCTTGTTGTGCACTGAAGCATTATCCACCGGTGCATTTTCTTGTTCAGTGGGGGTCGGGTTGGGAGGCATTATTTCATTCTCAAAAAACGCCTCATCACCAAGCTTAGGAAGAGCAGTGAAATCAGGGAAGTTTGATGCGGCCATTTTCTGAAAATTGATTGAACTTGAACTTTGTAAATGAAAGAGCAAGAAATGAGTGATTGCGAGAAAAAAGCTTAGAATCAAAATCAAAGAGAAAAGTTGAGAGATAGAATGAGAGTGAGATGAGAAGTTAAGAGTGAATTGTTGTGTGGGATTTAGGGTGAAATTAAGGGGTATTTGTAGGGGATTTTTGTAGCCATTTTCGGATTCTTACCGTTGGGTCCTTCGCGGGCCCAATGGGCGGCCCGTGACGGGCCTAATGGGAGGCCCGTCACGGGCCAAACGAGAGGCCCGTGACAGGCCAAATGGGAGGCCCTTCACGGGCAGACCGTTGGGCCTACGAAGGGCCCAATGGTAGCATTTAGAATGGTTTGTTTCACGGGCCGTTTCGCGGGCCTGGGCCGGGCCGAACAAGGGCTTAATCTGGCTTGGACTGAACTGGGCTTGGGCCGGGACGCGGGCCTTCACGGGCTAGGGCCGGGCTTGGGCCGCAGGCTGAGAAGCCGAGGCCCAGCCCTAGTCCATTACACGTGCCGGGCCGGCACGGCCCGTAACAGTAGCGAACCGGGCCGTGCCGAATCCGGCACTATTACGGGTTGAGCCGGGTCATCCACGGACGGCCCGGCCCATTTGACATCTCTAGGCTTCACAGAACCAAAATGAGTTTTAACCCTTTTCTAGTAAAAAAAAAAAAAAAGGTTTATAGCAAGACTGGCAACTAATTGTGGAATTTTCAAAATTTAGCAATATATGGGTATTTTTTTGGTTCACGTTGAGAAAATAAAGTTATAGCTTATAGGGTAGGTTAAGATTGGATTTCTTTTTCATAATTATTCTATGTAGGCTTTGCTAAATTCTTTCCATTCGTGATTAATAAACAAGTGTGATTATAAATAATGCAAATTTAATGTTGTAAGAGGAGTCAGCAGAACAGAGGCTGAACTAGATTGCTAAAAGTGAAGTGAAACTATCACTACCAGATCGTTATAATATATTAAAACAGAGGCGGCAATGTAGTAATAACTAGTTTTTGGACAGCTTAGGGGGAAAAAAAAACTAGTTTTTAGACAATATAAAGCACGTACAAACAAAAATATATTTCACTGTTATCTAGAATCAATTTAGTGATCTTGTTTTCTTCTTTTTTTTGTTGGCTGTTTCATCGTATATAACATTTTTCTTTATCTTTACGTAAATGAGAGAGTACCAATGATGTATGCGATGTTATTTGGCAATTTATCATTTGCTATCTTCACTCATTGCGAAAATAAAAGAAATAGTGGTTTGTTCTCCAATGAATTATATATTTCAATCATTCAATCTATTATCCAAAACTCTAAATGGCCTGGCATAAGGCAACATATAATTGAATTTATACGTTTCCTTAAAGATTAACTAGCTTGAGCAAAAAGAAAAAAAAAAAAACTAAAAGCCGCGTTGAAATTGTCACCAGATAGGATACATTAACTTCCCAAGTTTTAATAATAATAATAATAATAATAATAATAATAATAATATTATTATTATTATTATTAATGCTGCAATGTTTTTCCATTACCAACACGCGAACGAAATTCCTTTTGATAGAAAAGCTTTCCCCTTAAAATTTTTTAAAAAATATTATATTTAATTTTTTATTATAATTAAAATTTTTTTAAAAATATTATATCTTAACTCAAATTAAAAATTTAAATATGTGAACTAAGAAAACTATCTAATGGCTTTTACTGTGTATGACCCACGCATATACGCATAGGCCTTCTCTGTAGTACTTGAAGAACGTTTTAAGGACCGAGTAGGCTGAGTCAACAAGTGGACGTTTGCTTTATTAGTAGCATAGAAACTGCTCGAAAGGACATTTATACAGAACATATTCCCTTAAAAATTAACTAAAAGATGCTTCATTCCATTTGAAAATAAAAAATAAAAAAAACTAAAAGCTGCATTACATTCATCACCAGTTGGGAGAATATTTTGAAAACTAGAACAATATTTTTTTATTTTCGAAGTATTCTCTAATCGATAAAATCATGTCGTTATTTTTGAAATAGTCTTCTTTGAAAACTTCTCTACCGTTGACGTTCTTATTTCTCACTTTCTGAGGGAGTTTAGTCGATCTGTAATATGATGATCTCCTTAATAGTTTATTTGGAATAATTTTGTCATTTGCAAATATTTCATAATCGATAGAGTTGACTTTTCCTTCCTGGAAGATACCAAGAAAGTAGGTTCTCATTCATTTGTATTAATTACTATCCTCAAATCTTTTTGGGCATTCAGAAAAATTATACTCTTGAAAGAAGGGTTTGCTTTGCGTTGGTTTGATTGCGAATCCTTCAATAGTCAAGAGCATGGCCACAAGTTGTTCTTCCTCTAATGCAATTACCCCGGCGCCATCGCAGAAATACGAGGTTTTTCTTAGTTTCAGAGGCGAAGACACTCGCTATGGTTTTGTTAGCCACTTATACGCCGCTTTATGCCGGAAGAAAATCAAGACTTACGTCGATGACAAGAGTCTTGAGAGAGGAAATGAAATTTCATATTCACTTGCGCAAGCAATTAAGGAATCAAACGTTGCTGTGATTATTCTCTCAGAAAACTATGCTTCTTCCTCGTGGTGCTTGGATGAGCTTCTTCAAATACTAGAATGCAAAGAAAGATACGGCCAAACTGTTATTCCAGTGTTTTACCATGTAGAACCAACGCATATACGCAAACAACAAGGGAGATTTGGCAAGGCTTTCTCTCTACTTGAAAAACGTTTTAAGAAAAAAGGAGACCAAGTGAACCAGTGGAAGATTGCTTTATCAACAATAGCAGCTCTATCTGGATGGGATTCGAGTGTCGTCAGGTAACAGATAAAATACATATATATGTGTGTGTATATATATATATATATATGTATGTATGTATATGTATATTTTTATTTTCAACTTGTAGATCTGATCTGGGCAAGAAAGAGGTAGCCCGGCCATACCTATACTTTGAGTATGTGAATGGCACAAAATGTTTGATTTTCTTTTCTTGTTTTGTGAAAAATGACCGTCAAATATATGTATGTGTGTGTGTTTCTATATATGTATATATATATATATATGTATATACACACACATGTAAATCTTGTTTTTTCTTTATACTGCTTTGCGCATAAGATATTTAAAACAATGGTTAATCTTAAATTTAACCATCTAAAAAAGAGATTGTTAGGCTTTACCCCCTAATAGTTTAAATAGCACAAAATAGTCCTCAAAGTTATCAGAAATTGCAACTCTGATATTTTTGTCAAATAAACATCAACTTTTTACCAATTTTAAGCCTGTGCGGCTCACATAATGATACGCCCATACGAGCAGGCAGGAGAACGAGAACCTGATGGTCAACCCAATGGAAGCCCAACCTTCGTCTAGCCCATGGACCAAGCTGTCAAAGGCCCAGCCCGTGTAAGAAGGCCACTTGTGTGGTTAAACGACTATGTCGTTTAAGGGAAGAAGATCTGTCGTCTTCACTAGCAAGCTGGAATTCTTGGGATTGTTGAAGACCCTTGCACTTTCAGTTTTTCTTTGTATTTCGTTTCTTGCAATTCTGTTTTGGAGTTTGTTATTCGGTTATGCCTAGCCTACTGGTTTGTGTGAATCTAGGAAAGCCTATAAGAATGATACCAGATGATTGCAAGTTTTTTATCACAGAAATAATATCTCAAACGACATTCCTCTGTTTCTTCTCTTCTTCGTCTTCGTTTCTTGCCTTCATTTCTCTTTGTTTTCTGGAGTTTGCACTCACTCGAAGAGTGTGGTTCTCGTCTCTAATCCTTCACTGATATTAGGGGCGTATCATTGGTGCTTTCATTGAGAGTCGAACTCAAGAGATGACGATGATATCGATGGAGCTTATCGGCAGCGACGACTTTGCAGACTATTTCTTAGTTATGGAAGCCCTTGGTGATGGTCCATAGGCCAGCTCAATGGTGCGAAAGCCTAGACTGCCTACACTTTCACCGGCGCCGACATCCCTGGAAACGACGTCCTCCTTCAACAATAGCAAGACAATTCTGTCTACACAGTTACCACCCAAGGCATATTCAACCACAAACCAGCCACCACCACAATCCAGGCTCTCAGAATCACACGGGCCAGCATTACCACTCACCTTCCCATGTTCAGCCTTCGCTCTGAGTATACGTCAGCCAAAACCAGAGCCGATCAAAATCAACTCAATCACAACAACTCCGATCTCCACTGATCATCCACCACTGTCGAAACCACAACCCCATACGTGACCTGGAGAGACCGAGAATGCCACCACCACACCTGCTCAGTACCTGAAGCAAGGATCAGATCTGTGGCCGCCAGATCCTTTTGATATCGCACTTGATTCGATCTTTCCCAAAGCAAAGCTAGAAATTTGCCTCATATCCGGGTTCCTTCACGTCCTCAAATTCTGAATCGGTGGATATAGAAGGAAGAGGCGAATGAGTTTTGTGAAAGACCGAGGAAAAAAAAAGACGTACCGAAAACAAGATCGACAAAACGGAGGTAAGAGGCGGAAGAACATAATATGCGAGCGAAGGCAAGCTACGACGAAGAACGGCAACGAATGCGAGGAAGCTTGGTCGCGAAGGATTGCTCAGGGACGGTAACAGCCGGGCCTTATCGGGACTGGAACAGCTGACGACGGCGGAGAAGCCCGGGAATGCATTGGCGTCAAGATCGCCTGGGTTGGGAACGGCGGTGAAAGATTTTCACGACTTAATTTGGGGAAGAAGAATAAGCCTCCAAACGACCTCCTTGGGTTCCAAACGACAGAGTCCTTGCTTCCATAGTCAGACAGCCAGTTGGGCTCTTCCCTGCTCTTGATGGGCCTCTGTTGGCTTGGGCTTTCTCAGGTCATAGTAGAGTATAAGCATAGGAGGCTAAAAGGATTAAAAACAAAATAAATAAAGAAAAAAAAATCAATATGCTGAAGGGATTATTTCTTTTTAGTGTTTGAATTAAATTTTTTTTTTAACCACCTTGAGGACAAGGTGATTTTCAAGGGTTGGGGAATGATACGCCCATACCCGAACCTTTTGAGCAGGCAGGAGAACGAGAACCTGATGGTTAACCCAATGGAAGCCCAACCTTCGTCTAGCCCATGGACCAAGCTATCAAAGGCCCAGCCCGTGTAAGAAGGCCACCTGTGTGGTTAAACGACTATGTCGTTTAAGGGAAGAAGATTTGTCGTCTTCACTAGCAAGCTGGAATTCTTGGGATTGTTGAAGACCCCTGCACTTTCAGTTTTTCTTTGTATTTCGTTTCTTGCAATTCTATTTTGGAGTTTGTTATTCGGTTATGCCTAGCCTACTGGTTTGTGTGAATCTAGGAAACCTATAAGAATGATACCAGATGATTGTAAGTTTTTTATCACAAAAATAATATCTCAAACGACATTCCTCTATTTCTTCTCTTCTTCGTCTTCGTCTCTTGCCTTCATTTCTCTCTGTTTTCTGGAGTTTGCACTCACTCGAAGAGTGTGGTTCTCGTCTCTAATCCTTCACTGATATTAGGGGCGTATCATTGGTGCTTTCATTGAGAGTCGAACTCAAGAGATGACGATGATATCGATGGAGCTTATCGGCAGCGATGACTTTGCAGACTATTTCTTAGTTATGGAAGCCCTTAGTGATGGTCCATACACGGCCAGCTCAATGGTGCGAAAGCCTAGACTGCCTACACTTTCACCGGCGCCGACATCCCTGGAAACGACGTCCTCCTTCAACAATAGCAAGACAATTCTGTCTACACAGTTACCACCCAAGGCAGATTCAACCACAAACCAGCCACCACCACAATCCGGGCTCTCAGAATCACACGGGCCAGCATTACCACTCACCTTCCCATGTTCAGCCTTCGCTCTGAGTATTTGTCAGCCAAAACAGAGAGAACCAATGATACGTCCCTAAAATCAGTGAAGGATTAGAGACGAGAACCACACTCTTCGAGTGAGTGCAAACTCCAGAAAACAGAGAGAAATGAAGGCAAGAGACGAAGACGAAGAAGAGAAGAAATAGAGGAATGTCGTTTGAGATATTATTTATGTGATAAAAAACTTGTAATCATTTGGTATCATTCTTATAAGCTTTCCTAGATTCACACAAACCAGTAGGCTAGGCATAACCGAATAACAAACTCCAAAACAGAATTGCAAGAAACGAAATACAAAGAAAAATTGAAAGTGCAGGGGTCTTCAACAATCCCAAGAATTCCAGCTTGCTAGTGAAGACGACAGATCTTCTTCCCTTAAACGACATAGTCGTTTAACCACACAGGTGGCCTTCTTACACGGGTTGGGCCTTTGACAGCTTGGTCCATGGGCTAGACGAAGGTTGGGCTTCCATTGGGTTGACCATCAGGTTCTCGTTCTCCTGCCTGCTCAAAAGGTTCAGGTATGGGCGTAACACATAACTTATTAACAAAGTAACAAGGAAAAAAATATCTATTATAAGAAAAATGATATCTAAGTAGGAACTATTTTGAAAAAAAAAAATATTGATAGAGAAAAATATCATAAAAAGGGATCGATCAAAGTATGCATCGTTTTGGTTGAAACTATGAAATAACAAAAGACACATTAAGAGGAAAAAGTATGTTGATAACAGACATTTCAAACTGAAAATATAAGACTACCATGAAAAAACATAGGAAAAGATGAAAAAAATAGGATGAAAAGATGAAAAAAATAGGATGAAAGGATGAAGCACCAATTACGTACGGAAGAAATTCTACTAAAAAATCATATCTGAAAAATTTGATAGGAATAAATTAAAAGGAAAAAGTATCTTGATAATAGACATTTCAAAATGAAGATATAAAATTATACCATGAGAAAAGCAATTTTTAGGTGAAGAAAGGCAATAAGGAGTTAAAAAAAAAGTAGACAAAAATACATAAGAAATGGGGTAAAAAATTGGAATGAAACGATGAAACATCAATTACGGAAGAAATTCAACTTAAAAATCCCATATGAAAAAAATTGTTGAGAAAAAGGGCAAGAAGGGAAAAAGAAGAAAGAGAATTAAAAAAAAAAAACAAAACAAAAACAAAAGGAGGAAAAGAAGATAAAAAAAACTTGAACCAAAACACATAAGCAAAAGGAGGAAAAGAAGATAAAAAAGAACTTGAACCACGTTCCTTTTCAATATTCTGAATTTAATAATTATCCCATGCCACAATAATTGTTTAATTAATCCCTATTTATTAGAATTGATAATTCTCTTACATAAGGATAACTATTCAATCTTATCGAAATCAAAATCAAACTTTAGTACCCTTAAAAAAATCAAACTTTAACTAATGATTATTACATTCTTGGATAAATCACTAATCCTATTAGGATAAGCCTTGAATTATTAATTGTCACATTCATGTATAATTACTTTATTCTAATTGGACTCAAACTTTGATTAATGTTATATAACATGTTGTATCACATTGATACGTTTATATGGTTAACGTGTTATAATTAGAAAAAGAGGGAAGAAGTTTAGCATAAATTGTTGAAGCTATTGAGATAGAAGATCTAGTCCTACTTGTAAAATAAGCAAAAGATAACTCATGAAAACTCGTACATGGTAAAACCTAATGAAAAAAAATCCATTCGAAGGAAAAGAAGTGCAACATCTTCTAGAAATCTGAGACAATACAACTATATATATATATATATATATATGTCACAGTTAGGACATAGCTAATTTGCAGTTTGAATCATTTCCTACTTCAAGTATGAAGAGCATATGTCTTCTTCTTTTCAGACTACAAGTTTAGATGCTTATGCTTTATTCGAATTTTTCCTCCTATTCTGAATGAGCCAAATCATATATCCATAACACTAAAAATAATAATTTGGCTTATTCTTGTTGATATCTTAAAATTTTTCTTTGAAGATATAAAGAGGAAGGAATGGAGCTTAGCATCCCTTGAGGATGTCCTAACTAGATTAGAAATATGAAATCTTAAGATTCAATGGCTGAACTTTTAGAATTTTAGAGGGAAGTTGGATGAGATGAAAAAGCTAGAGAGAGAAATGGGCTAAGCAAATGAGTTTCTTCAATAATTTGTGACTCATGTATACGTCCACTAAGTTGGACACTTGTCCTAATACGTAATTCATGAAATACACCTGTCTCCTCCTTTATATTATGTCACAAAGATTTTACATTATAATAACCTGCCTCCTAAAAGATTTCAAATTAATTTGATAATTAGTTTCATTGACTTTTTAGGTTTATTTAAATATTTGAGAAATGTTAGCATCATTATGTTTTAATTTTTTTTTGTTATTTTTTATATTTATTATTTAACACGTGAAGGTCACTAATATAATGTATTATTATATAAAAAAAAATGATATTATGAAATTCACGTGTCAAATAATTAATATAAAAAGTGATAAAAAATAAAAAAAAATGA